TTGTTGGGAGCATATCCATTTAAATAAATGAGTTGCTTTAGCTTAAATTTCTTTATTGTTTAAATATATCTTGTTGTAGTTCATATGTAAAAAATAAATCCTTGGTTGATCAAACACTCTTTATTCATGTGTTATTTGTCTTTACTATCTATTATAGTTTTGATGCATATAAAATGAGATGTTTCAAGCAGGTTGCAATGTGCTTAAAGACTCCTTTTGCACCTTTGCAATTCTGGCCAGTTTATGATAGGCTATTCTTTAAAGAAAAATAACAAAAGAGCCATGCTTGAAACCTTTATTTATTGTGATAAAATTCAGATTTTACATGTGACCATCTCTGCTAGGATTTTAGATTTTTTTTGGTAGAAAGTGGCTAGATCTTAAATAGGTGTTTGAAATTGCTAGTTAAAAATAAGGGTTAATGGCTTAGAACAAAAGAGGCCAGACTCGCAATTTACCCCAGGTGGGCTATCTTAGTAAACCAGCATTTGAAATTCATTGGGCTTTCAGCTTATGCCCATTTTCGGAGCTCAATAATGGGCCAAGGCATATTCTGTCCAATAGGCCCAATGCCTTTAAGAAGTCTATAAACATTTTGTCCATTTATTTTATAGATGTTGGCTCAATACCATAACTAAATAAGCAAATGACTCACTTTCTCAATAAATAAATAGCTGGCCCATCTTCTAAAATCCATAAGCTGGCCCATTTCTCCTTTTAACAAGAAGTTGGCATATTTCTTTAAAAAAGATTGAGTTGGTCCAACATTTATTTGCACAATTTTTCCAACCATAAGGCTAGAAGATAATAATAGAAATCAGATTTCTGTTATTAATTAATTAACACATTTTCTTTTTTATTAATTGAATTGCTAGGCAATCAGTAGGCACGCTTAAATCTTTTCATTCACGGATTCGCTTGTGTGGCGTGATATTTAACATTCAATAATTTAATTCACTAATCTCTTACTATATCTATAGTTTTAGTTAAATTTCTAATCCTTTCACCATACTGGCGGATTCGCTCGCGTAGCGCGATAGTAACTTTTTAATAGCGATAGTAACCTTTTAATAAATAATTTCTCAAAAGCACAAATACAGTAATTTTTTCTGAAAATAATAGCGTGCTAATAATCCTTTGTCATAACTGCGGATTCGCTTGCGTAGCGCTGTTACGACAAAATTAATAAAATTCGTTTTGGTCGCATATTCGCTTTCGTAGCGCGATTAGGACAATTTTATACTATTTATATCATACTTTTTTTTTAACAACTTTAATAATTAAAAGCGGATAGGTAAAACATGAAAATACATATAAATCACAGTTTGTCCAAAATTAGCTCAAGCCAAGTTTTAAGTCAATAAAGCGACCGTGCTAGAACCACGGCACTCGGGGAATGCCTAATACCTTCTCCCCGGTCAACAGAATTCCTTACCCGAACTTTGATTTCGCGGACCGATAAAAATAGAGTCAAACTTTTCTTTGACTAGGGATTCAAATAAAAGGTGACTTGGAACACCGAAAACCAATTCCAAGTGGCGACTCTATAAATAAAATAATCCCTACTCAAATTTGTCACTTCAACTGGAAAAACTCTTTAACCCACCATAATATCCATACACATACATATTTTTCGGGGAGTAGAAAAGGGGTGTGACAATGTGTAATTCATTTCTGAAATGATAGAAATAATGTCACGTAAACTAGAATAAATGGAGTATTATCATTGGCAAAGCTAGCAAGGCAATAGGTTCATCCGAATTCTCTTCGCCGGAAAATTACAATATATGTACTAGTTCAAAATTATTATTTTTATGTATATATAGTAGATGTTAAATCTTCTTGATGTCTTCACATTTTTTTATGTAATTTTTTTAGTGAAAATCCTGACTCTGCTACTAAATATTACCTCCAAAACTTATTAAAAACACATGTAACGCTGTCAATATATAAAAATTTTAAATCCAATCATGCATGATTCCCTTTCTCCAAGAGGAAGTAGTTAGTGACTATAAATACTACAACCCTAAGTAGTGGGAAAGAACTGAAAAACACCATAAAGACAACTCTGAGGGAAGATAAGAATTTTGGCAGAGACCCTCAATTCCTCATAAGTCCAAAAGATGTCACAATGTGAGAAAGATTTGGAAGAGCTGAGAGAGACTTTTAAATCTGGGAAAACAAGAGAAGAATCTTGGAGGAGGTCTCAATTGAAAAATTTGCTCAGACTTCTTGAAGAGCAAGAAGATGACATTTTCAAAGCCCTTAAACAAGACTTGGGAAAACACCAAGTTGAGGCTTACAGAGATGAGGTAATTTATTTTTTATATTCTTCCTCCGTTCCACAATAAGTGACGTTTTTTGCCTTTTCGAGAGTTAATTTGGCAACTTAATATTTTAAAAGTACAGCCTGGTGCACTAAATTTTCCATATGGGCAGTGTACGGGGAAGGGCCGGACCACAAAGGTTTATTGTACACAACCTTACCCTGCATTTCTGCAATAGGCTGTTTCCACGGTTCGAACCCTTGAAAATTTAGATATTTTGAAATTAAAATTTGAATATACAAAAATGACTACTCTTATAAGTTATAGTTTTTTTTTGTGTCAATTTGATTAAAAAATACATCTTAAGATATTGGCCAAAGTTCACGTAGTTTATTTCGAGAAGTGAAAACCGTCAAATAATTGGGAGGGAGGGAGTATATGTTTAATTGGGTGGTATAGTAACTATTTTTGAAGTTTTTATATTCATAAAGTTTCAGCAATATTCACAAATAAAGATAACTTTCTAATTCAGAAGACCGATTTCAGATTTGGAGACAAAATTAAAGTGATGAAGTACATTACAATAGAATTCGAAAAAGTTTTGATAAATATAGGTCTAATACGTGAGTGTATACGTGGTAAAGTTTAGAAAATAGTTCTCTCTAATTAGTACTCTCTGTTTCAATTTATGTGTCTTAGTTTTTCTTTTAATATATTTTACAAAGAATGCTAACATTCTCCATATTAGTATGTTTTAAATTCTAATCCTTTCATTTTATCCTAAATAACACTCCCTTATAGAAATGATATGTTATGCTATTAAGATCACAAGATTCAACGATTATCTTTTATATCTTATACATAACAGTTTTTATTACATCTTTATACTTCATTCTCACTCAAAGCATATGAAATATTCCAGTTTATTATGGAGATAGGCTGGAGACAAGTGTGAAGTCCTTTTAAGAGACAACTAATGCTTGATTGGATATTTTAATTTGTTTTGCTTTTTTTTTTTATACCTTATAAATAAGGTAGGGGTCAATGCCAAACCCCCATCACCACAGGAGGTGAAAGCCTGGGCCGATGGATTAATTAAAAAAAAATTGCTTCTCATTAGATGACAAAGCAAAAAAGAAATTAAGAAGAAGAAAAAGGAGGAGGAAGCAATGGTGAATTAAACTAACAACTTTTTTGGATGGTTGTTGCATATTATTTCATAATATATATATCGTATTTATTGTATTGTATTATATTGTACAGTATTATTGATAAATACAATATTTGGATAGATTGTATATATTGTTTCCTGCCGTTTCATGATGTCACATATAATATGAAAAATAAACTTACAATATTAAAAAACAAAAAAGGTATAGGTAGAATTATTATATAAAATATAGGGTAAAGGAAAAATAAAATTATTAATAATAAAAAAGGGCAAGATGAGAGAAAAATATAACGTGACGATGCGATCACGCTATATCGTTACATAAAATGATAATTTTGGTCGTTACATAACAACGACAAAAATCAATAGGGAGCTTCCTTTATTTCATGATGGTGAAGTAAAATCAATATCATGATCTTTATTATATGATATAATAAAGCCTTTGGCCTTATCATGCAACTGGAAAGAGGGCATTAATTTTGACACAATTAGTTAGGGGTGAAGTCAAAAGTGACAACCCAATTGAATCAATGCCCTCAAACTTTGGCAATTAAGGACCTTGTGAAGTTCAGATACATAGCATTAAAAACCCTATGGTCAGGATAACAATATCTTTATGATCCTCTGTACATCATTTTGACATTTTCTTTGGTGGGGAAGGGGGTAGGGGGGTAGAGCGGGGGGGGGGGGGGAAGTGGTGTTAGGTTGGAAAGAACTCTTCTACTTATTATAACTTGTTTAGTATTTTGGCTTTTTTTTTTTACACGAAAAATGGAAAGGGTTAGGCTATGGTTTGAAGCGGTGGCATAGCCAAGAATTTTAACGAGAAGACTTTTAAAATTGGATGGATTTCATAATCGAGATTCAAAGCTACAATCTATACAAGAATAGTAAGGCCCAGCCCGTTATCCCTAAAGTAACTTTTATCCGTTGAGCGACGACCCTCTTACTCGGAATCGTTAAGGCCGACTTTCGCCCCTGCTCGACGGGTGATCTTGCAGTCAAGCTCCGTGCTCTTACTAGTAAAGGAAGGGCTCAGGAGAGCCAACAATATCAAGAAAAGCAAAGAGGACCTCTTTAGAATAACTTTTGAGTCACACTTAGTGTTACGTAAAAATAACTTTGAGAGAATTCAACAAATATATATTAAAAAAATCATAATTTTTTTTTTTACCTTATTTGCTGATTTAATAAACCCTTTCAGACCATATAGCTCCGGCCTTCAATTGGAGGTAGGAGAAGACACAATTTAATTAACCTAGTTATCATAGTGAGTTAATATAGCAATTCCATCTGAAAAAAGAATTATCTGTATTTTTTTCTGCAGATTGGAACACTAATAAAATCTGTGAATTATGCACTGGATGGCTTAAAGAAATGGATGTGTGGCAAGAAGGTATATTCTGTAAAATAGACTTGCATTATATGAATAATTTTGAACTTAATTACCTTGTATCTAATCTAAAGCTAAATATTGTTATTTGATTCACAGGCCAAATTGCCAATTGCTGCATTCCCTGCTTCAGCAGAGTTGGTTCCTGAGCCTCTTGGTCTAGTCCTCATTATTTCCTCTTGGAACTTTCCTTTTGGTAAGCTTTAGATCGGGATTGTTATATAAATAGCCGGCTAGATTCAATATTGACTTTTTCTAGCCGGTAGACATTGATTATATACAACTATATATATTATACATGAATATTATATATATATATATATATATATATATATATATATATATATATATATATTATACATTTGCTGGCTATTTTTAATTTAAGAGATTAGGTGCCCGGCTATTTAGGTTAATTCTTCTATGTGGTTAAGTGGTTTTCTCTCCCGAATACCTAAACAGAGTTTCATTTCTAGTTAATAGTATGTTGGTATGCTCATTATTTGCACCAAATTAGTTAATGCAATACATGTGATATGTGTTAAAAAAATCGTCAATTAACCATAATTAAATGCTATATTTTCACAAGAACTTAAAGAATAATATTACAAGCTGGGACAGATCTCAACGGTATAGTCCCTAAATAGTCTTTGTGAAACTGGAAATAAACGAAAACATGAGAGAAATTCCAAAACATATTTTTTGTTACATAACTCTTAAAATTAAATTTATAAACACCCAATACGAATAAATATTTTTCATTGACATAATCTATTGCCTCAAGCATGAACAGAATCGCCTTTGTTCTGAAGGCCTAGCGAGTTCCTTTTTTTTTTCAAAGGCGGTCCTTTTCTTTCCTCGGACCTTTGCATTCTTTGATAGCCAATAGGAATTGATAATGTCAAAGCAAACATTATCCTACCAAAACAATCAACTATGTCGATGTTGCACGTGGGGGCGGAGCCAGAGTGCCGATTACGGGTTCGACTGAACCCAATAGCTTTGATTCAAATCTCTAAATTTATCTTAAAAATTTATTGAATATATAAAGGGCAGCCCGGTGCACTAAGCTCCCGCTATGCGCGGGGTCCAGGGCAAAGAAGGATGCAACACGAGGACTTCCTAGGGATTCACCCATCCTAGTACTATTTCGCCCCGACACGCTTAACTTCGGAGTTCTGATGGGATATAATGCGTAAGTGATGGGATCAGGTTACTAAGTTCTTAATTAATATAGAACCCAGTAACTTAAAAGGATTAGAGTTCTAAACCCATAAGTTTGAAATCTTGGCTCTGCCTATACTTGTACATGATGCTTGTAATTTGGACCATAATAACTATTTTTTCTATGACAAGATAATTTTCAATTCTAATCAAGGCTTTAATTACCTTTTCAATTATACATTAAACACAGGGTTATCATTGGAACCACTAATTGGAGCAATAGCAGCTGGAAATGTGGTGGTTTTAAAACCCTCAGAGCAGGCTCCTGCATCTTCATCAGTGCTAGCCAAGACAATCTCCACTTACTTGGATAATAAAGCTATTAAAGTCATTGAAGGTGATAATTCAGTTGGTGACAAACTGTTGCAACTAAAATGGGACAAGATTTTCTTTACAGGTTTGAACTTAAAATTTTCCCAATTTATTTTTTTCATATTTTAAGTGCTCTGTCTTTTGCTCAATTTGCACTTTTAGTCACTGTATTACATTGTAATTTTGATTTTACTTAACTTTTTGGTTAAAACTAACCATTGCTTAATTAAAACGAAAATCTGCACACCATAGCCACCCCCTAAAATAATAGCAGGTGTATTTTTGTATATCAATGTTTAATAATATACTAATTTTATGCTTAATGTATATTTTTATATATTTGACTAGCGGTTATAGTTAATTATTTTTTACCAACTAGACAAATATGTTAAAAGTATTTATTAAAACAGGCAAAGTTAGACCTTCGTTTTTACAAAATCCAAAGGAAATAAAAATTTAAGTAGTATTCAATAGCTGCCCCAACTCACATTTTACAGATAGATCTAAGCGTATACAGGCAAGAACACAGTGTTGTAAATAGCTTCTTTTCCTCCTTCTTGACAACTAGTTGTCTGCATCATTTGTTTTGGATTTGAACTATATCTTAAATTTTTTATATGAAAGATTTAAAATTAAATTTATTATTTGATCTTACAGCATAGAGAATTGCAATCACTAGAAATATATAACGAATCTCACATTGGAAATACATATTATGCTAGGTATATAAGAAAACAAGCATTAAAACATATAACGCGATTTGAAGCATCGGGACCTTGGCACAAAATAGAAAATATCATTAGTGGGCTTGACTATCAATTACATAAGGATTAAATTTGAAAAATAGAAAAATCACTTGTGTTAAGTTGTGTGAAGAAAAAGTAATAAATTATATAGGAGAAAGGAATAATATGATACTACAAGTAATTCTAAAAATAGCTCAACATGTAAAAGAACTAAACTAAATAGTCGTTCATGCAATTACTTTAATAATAAAAAAAGCAGGTATAAGTATAATATGTTTCTAACCGCGTATAGTAAATGTATAATTTATATAATACCAGTTAAAAAATAAAATATAAATCTGATCGACTTATTTGAGAAAAGATACCCAAAAGTATATATACACTATAAGGGAGAATGACAAAAAAAAAAAAAAAAAAAAAAAAAAAAAGATATTTCTGTGCTAGTGTTGATTCTTTTACCCCGATAATAAAAGTTTTCGAAAAATAGCCTGATTTTAAATTTAAAAACATGGTCACCAAAATTTCAGCAAGTTATGGTGATTGTCAGATTTTGTGGCAAAATCCTGTTGATTACCAGATTTTTGAAAATGTTTTCCTAACTTTTTCTAACTATACATTTTCAGTATATAATTTATGTTTAGTTAGCTCAATCACTCTCAAATGGTTACAGGGAGTACAAAAGTGGGTAAAATTGTAATGGCCGCTGCAGCGAATCATTTGACTCCTGTGACCCTGGAATTGGGCGGAAAGTGCCCTGCTATCGTTGATTCACTCTCCAGTTCTTGGGATAAAAATGTAAATTCGCTTTCCTCTTCTTATACCATCCAATTTAGTTTCTGTTTCTTTATTTTTTTTTTAAATATTAAAGCATATTTAGTATTTCTTACTTCCTCTATTTCAATTTATATGTGACTCTAATACGAATTTAAGAAAAAATAAAAATTTCTGAAATTTATGGTCTTAGATATATCATAATATGTGTCTGGATATAAGACTTGATGTAAGTATGTCATAACATTTGTGTGGCTATCAAAAATTTAAAATTAAGAATAAAATGAGAAGCTAAAGCTAATCAAATTTATAAGAAAAAATTATTCTTTTTAAAACAAACTAAAAAAATAGGGTCACTAACTGAAACAGAAGGAGTAACTCTTATGGGTGTGTTTTTTATAACGGAAAATGTTTCCGTTTTCTTGGAAAATAAGTAGTAGTCTTTCTCATTTTCTAGTGTTTGGTACACAAATTAAGGAAAATAACATCTCAAGAGTATTCATAAATAATTTAGATACAATAAATATGAATCCATAAACTTTTGAACCAAAAACCTTCTGTACCCATAAATTCCATAAACTTTCGAACTCGTAAACTTCCAAACACATAAACCTTTGAATTCATAACTTTGGAACTCGTAAAATTTGGAACCTGTAAACTGAAAAATGAAAAAATCAGAACTAAAAATATATAAAAGAAATATTCTTTTTTGCCGCGAGAGGGGATGGGTGGGTGGTACAAAAAAAATAAAAAAATAGAAAATTTAAATAACAAAAAAAATTAAAATAAGAAATTTGGGGGGGGGGGGGGGTGGCATTTGGGGGTTAGCAGGCTGAATGGTAACGGAAAAGAAAACAAAAACTGAATTCTGGAAAAAAAAAAAAAAATAAGCATGTTTGGAGAGAGGGGGTGGGAGAGGTGAGGGTAGGGAAGAGAAGGAGGAGGCGGTTGGAATTAGATGTGAGGATCGGTGAAGTTTTTTGAAAATTTCTTTCACACATGATCAGAAAGAAAGAAGGCTCGCATAAGTTTTGTAGTGCATTCTCCTTGCTTTATTTATCGTATACTGTTTTGTCTAATATTTTTTCTTCTTTTTTTTTCATAGATTGCAATGAAAAGAATTCTTTCTGCAAAATTTGGGACTTGTGCTGGCCAAGTATGCCTTGGAATTGATTATATCCTAGTCGAGAAGACGTATGCCAACGAATTGGTACGTATTAGAAATTGTTGCGGTTGCGTTGTTCAGATTTTTAAATAAAGATAATATTTATCATAGTTTACATGTTTGATATTTTTACCATCTTGCTCAAATAGTTGCACATTTTTTATTTGACGAATGATATTGCTTTCTCTTGAAATACTAATAATTTGCATGTTAATTTTTGCTATAGGTAAAATTGATTAAACATGCCATCCCAAACACATTTGGAGAAAATCCAAAAGAATCACATTCGATGTCGAGGATCATTAACAGAACTCATTTTTTGAGGTTAAAGAATCTCTTAGATGAGCCAATGGTAAAAGCTTCAATCGTACATGGAGGCTTAACCGATGAAGATAATCTGTGAGTAACTTTTTCCAACATTTTCATTTCAATCTAGTCAACTCTATGAAAATTTCTGATTTTTGGCACTAGATTTCTAATATCCAAATCTTTGTAGTATATTTTTGTCTATTGATCAAAGAAGTTTTCTTCCATTTAATTAAATCACCCGCGTATAGAGGTGACAATTTGAGTCCAGATCCATTTGACTTGCCCAACCCACTCGAGGTTGGGCCGGTCATTGACCCGCCCATTTGTTGAATTCAGTCCATCTTGATCTAGCTCATTTCAGCCCATTTAAAGCTTGATTGATTTTTAACCCAAATTAATCCCTGAATAACTTTGCTAAAATATCTTTAAAATAATTCTTTTTTGTTTGATATGCTATATATAACTACTCCCTCCGTTCCAGTTTTTGTGAACCTATTTTTTTTGGTCTGTTCAAAAAAGAATGACCCATTTCTAAATTTGAAAATAATTTAGCTTAAACTTCCAATTCTACCCTTAATGAGAAGCTTTTATAACCACACAAATACTTTAGACCACTTTTTGACTTGTTTAGGACCACAAATTTCAAAAATCTTCATTTTTTCTTAAAATTTATACCCAATCAAATATGTTCACATAAATTGGAACGGGGGAGTATAATAAAAGAAAGGAAGTCTTATTGATAATTAAACGAAAGAACAATTGATAATTCTTCTTGGCACTTTTTTAGTATTGATTAGAGAAAATAATATTGAGTAGGGGTTGAGAATTTTTAAAGAAAAATATTTCTCCTTCACGAGTAGGAAAAGCCATTTTTTTCTATTTTGATAGAGAATATTTTCCTTGAGAAATATTCTTCGATAACCAAACCTTTATACAACCCCATAATTGAAAATATTTATCAGTCCTTTAATATGTCCCAAACACTCTTATATATAATAAATATTATCTTTTGTTGCTTTAAAATTAAAGTTGCCAAATTTAATGCACAAGTTCGAATGCAGGTTCATTGAGCCCACAGTATTACTGGATCCTCCGGTGCAAGCTGCAATTATGACAGAAGAAGTTTTTGGTCCATTGCTCCCTATCATAACTGTGAGCATATTTTATAATTATTATTTTTCAATACTATCTATTTCTCGAAAAATAAAAAATAAAATAAAAAACTGATATGAAAAAACATAGTATTTCTCTTACTTTTTCAAAATACTTGCATTGCCCCCTTGAACTTGTGAATATAAAAGTTTAACTTATTCAACATTTACTTTTTCTTTTTCTTTTGGGTCTACAAAAGGTAACATTTGTTCTAAAGTGAATTTATTTTGTTTTGTTAGTTGGATAAAATCGAGGACAGTATTGAATTTATCAATGCAAGGCCAAAGACACTTACTATATATGCCTTTACCAAAGACGAAGCCCTCAAAAAGAAGATAATAAGCAGAACATCTTCAGGAAGTGTGGTGTTCAATGATACAATTATCCAAGTAAGTTCAACACTTACTATTTTTTTTTTAATTTAATCGTGTTGTAGTTGAAGAGTGCCTTGGCGCAACTGGTAAAGATGCTGTCATGTGACCAGGAGGTGATGAGTTCGAGCCGTGAAAACAACCTCTTGCGGAAGTCGAGTAAGGTTACGTACAATAGACCCTTGTGGTCTGGCCCTTCACGGGACTTGCACATAGCAGGAGCTTGTGCACCGGGCTGTCCTCTTTTTAAAGGAAAAATACCAGCTATGTCCATTTATAAGTAGCTTATTACAAAAATCGGCTAATTCATAAAATATTACTAGTGTTAGCCATTTAGCTATTTGTAGCCAAAAAAGGTTAAATTTTTGCTTTCTTTTGAGTGGATGTTGTTAGAATAGATTGGATACATCCTAAGGAGCTTGATCTCAATTTTGGGATGATTTGGTGGAGTTTTGAGGTGGTTTGAATTGAAAATTCGAAGTAGAAGATGAACATGAAAAAAATTGATGGGTTATCACATATGTATCATATTTATATCAAATGTGTATCATATGTATATCCATGTATACCCGCGTGTGAGATACATGCGTGATACATGTTTGATACATGTGTCACAGAAGAATTTTTTAAAGAACTCGATTTTAACTACGAATTTTAATATCAACTCAGTCAAAATCACCTCCAATCTTCCTCAAATTTTGTATATTAACTCGTCTATATGTTTTCAATGGATCTCAACCATACCCATTGAAAAATCCTTTTTTTATATATGCTTGGCTAGTTTTGGTAAGTTTATGACTAATGGCTAGAGGTAGGTAGGTTGAGACTTTTTTGGGACATTTCTGTAAGATCCCCTTGTCTTAATCATTGAAAACAACCTCTCTATCTCCACAAGGTAGGGGTAAGGCTGCGTACACACTACCCTCCTCAGACCCCCACTATGTAAAATTATACTGGAATTCTTGTTGTTGTCGTCGTTATCTTCTTCTTATTTTGAATAGATTTAACATTAAACTAATTATCATGCTTATTATAAATGCAGTATGCAGCTGATACACTTCCATTTGGGGGAGTAGGGCAAAGTGGCTTTGGAAGGTACCATGGGAAGTTCTCATTTGATACATTTAGCCATGAGAAAGCAGTTGTAAGAAGGAGCTTTCTTACTGACATCTGGTTTAGATATCCTCCATGGAATGATAAATCACTTCAACTCTTCAGAACTGCTTATAGATATGATTATCTTAGTGTAGTTCTTATTACACTAGGACTAAAAAAGCCTTAATTGATGTTTATTTGCTTAATTGCCAATTCCTATAATTGCAAATATTAGTGATTGTATTAGATTAGTTATCCGTCTTCTCTGTCCTATTAAAAAAGTTTGATTTGTAATTTACATTTGAGTGATTAGTGTGTTAAATTCTTCTACACCCATTTCTTTCTCCATTTTGAGAAAAACTTTGTACTTTTCTTGCTATTTTTATTTTTGTGACGAATAAAAATATTTCATTTCGATGCAATTAAGAGTGTGATCTAGTAGTCAATAAAATGCATGCAAACTTTGGACAGTTGTGCTGGAAAATGGGATTGGATTGCGAATCGCTCTTTGTGAGCTGACCCGATCCAGTTACAAGAGATAAGTAAGAAAAGTTACCACAGAAATAACCACCATACCAAAACTGTTGCTTATCTTATCTAAGGGTGTGGGATCGATTTCCTTTTTTTGGTTGAAGACTGCTTCTCCAAAAAACCACACACAACAAAGATGACATTTAATTTGTGGATTAAACCTGGTTTCTTAGTGAATCGAAGTTCGACACATGGGAAAATATTTTAGTGATGAGTTCAACAATTTTTTCATTGCGTTAACAAATACTCAATTGTTGTTTTTGCTTCCGCTGCGTTAACAAATACGCAATTATTGTTTTTGCCCCGCAATTTTAATCTTTCATTAACATCAGAGGTTGTAGTGTGTATTCTAGTCTAAATACAAGATTGAATTATATATGCTTCCGAAGGGTTTTCCTGTTTCTAGTTTTTCTATGGCATGATCAGTACCTGTTTACTGTTTGTTACTATTTCTTTTTGACACTGTGGCGTTTAACAGCCTGTTTGGCCAAACTGGAGAAATCACCTTATTTTGAGAAGTGCTTTTGAAAAAAGTACTTTTGGAGAGAAGCAGAAAAGCAGTTTGTGTTTGGCTAATCACTCTGAAAAGCACTTTGAGCAATAATTTATGTTTGGCCAAGCTTTTCAAAAAGTGCTTTTAAGTATTAAATTACGAATAAGGACATGAATAGATTTACTTAATAGTTAATATTATAAGTAATTAAAAAATCTCAAAAATTTGTTATTACAGGCAATAATTAAATCTTTTCATTTTATTTAAGTAGAATATGAAAATAAAATTAAAAAGTACTTATTTCTTTTAATATAAGTTAAATATATTAAAATTCATTCAACAAATATAAAAGCATTCACTTCCAACGTCACTATATATTAGAAAGCTATCCTAAAAATAAGAAGAAATACTTATACATTAATATCCTAAGTATTAGGTTTAACGGTTATTTTGGTATATACTATATTTTGTTAAGGGTATTTTAGGTAAGAAGAAAAGTCAAAACTGCTTCTGCTTTTGGGAACGTTACTTTTTTCTGCTTCTGAGAAACTGCTTCTGCTTCTTCCCAAAAGTACTTTTTCCTCCAAAAAAGCTTGGCCAAACACCTCAAGTTAGGAAAAAAGTATTTTTGAGAAAAAAAGCACTTTTGGCCTCTTGAGAAGCTTGGCCAAACAGGCTATAAACCAAGTTCTAAATACAGTAGAGAGTTTGCCTACTTTTGGTCTGAAAGATACATTTTTTTGCAATGGAAATGCCCAAGAACATGGGGAGAACTGAATTTTCTTGTTTTTCAAGTGTCGACAAAGAACATAAAGAAGAGAGAGACAATTTTTTTTTTTAAATATACTAATTTGTAAAAGCCGCCTATTCAACTTGTTTCCTATCTTCTAGATCTTCTCTATATGTGCCGGTAGAATACAAGGACGCGTATCTAGGTTTAGGGAGGTGGGTTCACGTAAAATTATACACTTCTCCCTAAATCATATTTCCTCCGTTTTATGTGAACATATTTCCTTTTTGGTCTGTCCAAAAAGAATGACTCCTTTCTAAATTTGGAAACAGTTTATCTTAAACTTAAAATTATACCCTTAATGTGAAGCTTTTATAACCACACAAATATTCTGGGTCCCTTTTTGACTTGTTTAGGACCTTCATTTTTTCTTAAACTCCGTGCCCAATCAAACAAGTTCATCTAAATTGAAACGGAGGGAGTATATAATAATATTATATCTCTTTAAAATAACTTAAATACATGTGCGTGCACTCAAGATCAAAGATCCCTATGGTATGATAATTTTTGGGCGAACCTCTACAAGTGAATTAGCGGTTTAAATCTCACCCCGGTTGGTCTAGCTCGGAGCCATAACCGCACATTATATTGGTTTGCTTTATTTTACAGTTAATTTCTAACATCAATTCTCATATTTCTCAGTTTGTACCAAGTGAAATCACATATCCTTAAAACCACTTATAAGTTTAATTGTTATCCAATTTTAAGGGTAAACAGTTTGGTGCCCACCGTGGGGCTAAGGATAATAGTGATTGCCTGGTACAAATTTTTATAACACACACTATTTTACGCTTTCTCTTTGAAGTGTCTTTGATTACAGGATTGAAAGATGTCAAACTCTCAGTCAGCACCTCAACACATTGACAATGATCTCAGCCACCACGGCGGGAATGAGAACATTGCACCAGGAAACGTTATACCCCCTGCTGGCCTCGATGGAGTTCCGGCTTCATATCCAATCAGTGTCAGTTCACATGTAGCCATCAATGGAAATGTGGTCATCGATCCCGAAAGCAGCGTTCATGGGGGTACCCGATCAGCTACTCAGAATGCGCACGACGATGAAGATGGCGGGATTAGCCTGCGGGTAATCTTCAAAATGTTGCAGGCCCAGCAGGCAGCAATAGCTCAGCTCCAACATCAGAACCGCACGCCGAGCAGGGTCGAACTCGAGTCGTCCTAAGAAGTTGTGCATAGGGTCGAATTGACTTCGAGAAATCAAATGAGAAGGAAATAGAGATAAATCTCGCTATCCTAAAAATGATCGAAGAGTTGACGAAGCAAATAGAGACAGGAGAAAAGGAGATCGAGGAAAATGATAAGAAGGTGGAAACCTATAACTCCAGGGTCGACCAAATCCCGAGGGCACCACCGATATTTAAAGGACTAGATTCTAAAAGGTTTGTACAAAAACCCTTTCCCCCAAGTGAGGCTCCTAAGACAATCCCAAGAAGTTCCGTATGCCCGAGATTCCTAAGTATAACGGGATGACTGATCTAAATGAACACGTCACCTCGTATACGTGCCCTATCAAGGAAATGACTTGCAAGATGATGAAATTGAATCCGTATTGCTGAAGAAATTCGAGGTGACTCTATCGAAGTGCCATGATATGGTATCATAATTTGCCGCCCAATTCTATTGATTCATTTGCTATGCTTGCAGATTCTTTTATAAAGTCGCACGCCAGAGCCATTAAGGTTGCAACAAGAAAGTCGGACCTTTTCAAGGTAAGGCAGAAGGATAACGAGATGCTCAAGGAATTCGTATCTAGGTTCCAAACAGAGAGAATGGATTTGCCACCGGTCAGCGACGATTGGGCTGTTCAAGTTTTCACTCAAGGTCTCAAGATTCAGAGTTCCATAGCATTACAACAGTTGAAGCAGAATTTGATCGAGTATCCAGATGTCACTTGGGCCGATATACATAATTGATATCAATCGAAGATCAGGGTCGAGATGATCAACTGGAGATTCCTTCCGGGTCCGTTTATCCCAACAAGCTCGTGGATAGAATCAAGAGGGATATTGATCGAGAGTCAAGGTCGAATAGAGATCGATATCAACCATACAACGGAGACCGTAGAGGCAACGATTCTGGACGAAACTTTGCACGGAATGAGAGGAGAAATGATCTAGGTCAAAGTTCACGTGGACTCATGAGCAAGGGTGGGTTTTACAGGGATGTCGGGCCCAAAGAAGCTCAACAATTGTCGGAATATAAGTGTAGATGCATCAGCCATCGTATCAGCCAGCGGATGTATCAAGGATACTAGATGGCCTCAACCTCTGCAGACCGATCCGGCCCAGAGAAACCCCAACCAAATATGCAAGTATCATGGCTCCCATGGTCATAAAACAAAAGATTGCAGGCAGCTAAGGGAGGAAGTAGCCCGATTATTCAATGAGGGGTATTTTCGAGAATTCTTAAGCGATCGGGCCAAGAATCACTTCAAAAACAGAGATTCCAGTAGGCAGAACGAGCAGGAGCAGCCACAACACGTGATCCACATGAATATTGGAGGGGTCGATATTCCTCAAGGATCAATATTTGAATGCACCAAGGTGTCAATCACAAGGGAGAAGCGAACTCGGGACTACTTACCGGAAGGGACCTTGTCTTTTAATGACGACGTGCAGAAGGGATCGAACAGCCCCACAACGATGCACTGGTAATATCTGTCCTTATGAGTAAAATTCGAGTTAAACGTGTTTTGATTGATCCAGGTAGCTCAGCCAACATTATTTGATCAAGGGTCGTAGAACAGCTCGGCCTACAAGATGAAATTGTGCCCGCATCCCGAGTACTTAACGGCTTCCACATGGCAAGTGAAGCCACCAAAGGTGAAATTATTTTTCCAATAAACGTGGTTGGGACCATCCAAGAAACAAAGTTCCATGTGATCGAGGGTGACATGAGGTATAACACTGCTCGGAAGGCCTTGGATCCATAACATGAGGGTAGTACCTTCGACCCTTCACCAAATTCTGAAGTTCCCGACATTGGAGGGAGTCAAAACAGTGTACGACGAACAACCCGCCGCCCAGGAGATGTTTGCAATCGATGAAGTGATATCGGTATCGGCACTTTCATCAGCAAAGGGATCGGATTCGAAGGGAAAATAGGAGGCCAAATAGCAACCACAGTTACCAGCCTCGACCCAACAGGAGGAGCAGGGAACTTACGAGGATGATTACTATATGATACCTTGATCATTCATAATCCCCAATGATTCTGACACCACAAAATCAATGGTCGAAGAGCTGGAACAAATCATACTGATCGAGCATCTACTCGATCGAAAGGTATACCCGGGCACGGGGTTAACTCCCGAGCTCAGGAAAAAACTTATTTCAATTTCTTAAAGCTAATATGGATTGTTTTGCCTGGTCCCATCTCGATATGATAGGGATCCCACCGAAGATCACTACTCATAAACTAAGCTTGGACCCGAAGTTCCGCCCGGTGAAACAAAAAAGGAGGCCTCAGTCCGAGGTAAAACACGCTCTCATCAAA